ATATATATATATATACACATATATATATATATATATATATATTAGTTGGCCAATTAATTTCTTTCTATTTTTTATAGTAGAGACGGGGTCTCACTCAGGCTGGTTTTGAACTCCTGACCTTGAGCAATTCACCCGCCTCGGCCTCCCAGAGTGCTAGGATTACAAGCGTGAGCCACCGCGCCTGGCCAATATAAAGCACATTGTTTATCAGCCAAACTGAAAATGGACCCCAAGGTCTGTGTGTCCAAAGGTTATATTTCTTACTCAGTACATTAAAATATTCTGAATATATGTGAGTAATATTGTCTGTTTTTCAATATGTAAACTCATTTCATGATCATTTATCACTTACAGATTTAATAGTAGCATAAAAAGATAACTTGTATGAAAGCTGCATAGTAACACATGATTAAAAGTAATAACAATAACAAAATTATCAATACCAAAAGTCAAGGGATTGAAAAAATACGAGATGAAAGCATGCACGAATGGACCTAATAAATTTGTGGTGGGTTGTCAAGATTTCTGTATTCTTCAGACCTTCAATGCCATTTTAATATACAATGCATAAAGTACATTATATTTTTTCTAGTTAAAAAAATGTCATTTTGCACCAATTTCCTCATGGAATTCTCAGAAGAAAAATGCTAAAATGACAATGTGACATTTGTTATCAATTCATAGCTAAAGTTTTACAGTTTTAGAGCTTCAGAAAGTTTTCCCTCTTTGGATTTTTTTTTTACTTTATACCACATATCTGGCTTTAGCTTCATTTGTAAAAGCAAAATTTAACTGAAGACAATTTAAGCATAATTTGAAACAAATTAAAAATAAAAACCAAACCCCATTATAAAGACAACTTAATATGATGCTAACTAAGAAATAATAGATAATCTTTCAGTAAATTTTTAAATAATTCTATATTAAGTATAATTTGGTCTTTTCTCAAATTTATTTTTAAAATAAAAACATTTCTGTTAAAAGGCTACATTTAAATTGCAATTTTATTTAAAATTGTTTAACATAAATTGTAATTAAATGTTACTTTTTACAAAAGTAACCTTGGTTCTATCTTTTGGCAAACTATTAAGGTTGTGGAACACAAAATTATCTTTTTAGTCAAAAAATACTCTTCCATGAGTGTTTCCATGAGATTAGAGGCTTTGCATTAACAAAATCACACATGTATTTTCTTATTTCTTAGGGTTTTCATGATAATTTTAAATGACTTTTATTCACATTTTAATGGTACAGAGGAATCAAGAGGCTCACACTCTTCTTTCAATCACTAGGCATTTTTTTTTTATGTGTAGCAGAGGAGGCAAAAGAGAAAAAGATGCCAAAAACATTTCAAAAGAAGCAAATATTCCACTTTGCTCTTAAACACAAGTGAAACATTCCTATTTCTGTGTGGCAGGTAAGTAGATATTTAAGAAATATATTACCTTTTCCAGAAGCATATACTATGGCCTAAAGAAATTTTAAATTATACTTTCAGAACAATTTTAGGACTGAAAATTATTCACTCTATGATTTACTTGTTAGTCTTAAGAAAGAACAAAGTTTCAGAGCAAATCAAAATATAAAATTCATATTGCAGCTTATAGAAGTATATTAGTTCTGTTTTTGTAAGACTTGATAAAGGATGCTTCATGGTGGAAACCCAAAGAAAAGTTAGAAAATACCTAACACAGGTAAATAACTGGATAGTTAAGATGTTAATAGATCACACAAGCTTGTTTCTAATATTTTCCTCATTTGTAGGTATAATTGTTTTTCTTACAGTTATCACTCATAAGCGCCTTCATGAGGAATAGCCACGCACAGTATTTTTATCATAAATCACAAAACATGGTGCTAAAACATACCATCTGCTCATTGTGCTGGGATTCATATCAATTCGCCACAAACAGTAACAGTGCTATTTTGATACTTCAAAGCAGGCCAAAGTTTTGTAAAGCAACATGTACGTATACCCAACAGCAGAAATCAAACTGCTGGATATTGAATGAGAGGGCTGGCCTAGAGCCTAAAGCAATGTGAATCTCTCAATTGCCTTTACCTGTCCCCGAGTTTAGAGAACTAGCACAGGAGGATGTCATTAAAGTTCTTAGGCAGCCCCACCTGTTACAGAACCAACCCATACCACAGCAAACTAAGCAACCAACCAACCAATTCTGAATTTCTATAGGATTAAACACCTTGGGAGAGCTGTAAGTGAAACTGCGTTTGTACAGGCAACAGGTTTCTTAGGCCAAACTAAGATACTACCACAGTGTTTTTCCTGGCCCAGCCACCCTGGTTAGCTGGCCTTCCGTGGAGGTGTGAGTCAGCACACTCATGTAACCAAGGTGGTACCTCCTGCGTGAACCCATGCGATCACGCTTTCCCATGGCATGTTGCCACTATTGCTCAGAGCCATATATAAGCACTCGCCATGTTCCTGGCCATGCTTTTCGCCACTGCTGTATCCCCCACAATAAAGAGCATGTCTCACCTGCCTGCTGTCACTCACCTTTTCTTCCGATTCCCGAGGCCTGTGCTGGAGCACACGCCAGTCGCAGAACATCCTCCTCACACCTGGCATAGTCAGTAGGATCCGAAGGGGTAACTGTCCTCTCCAGGACACGTGGCCTCCTACAGGCTTGTGGCAGCCAGTGACAGCGGTCCTCATGTCGCGGGCCTCTGCCACGGGGTGGGAGCAGGTAGAATGTACTCCTGCTGGTCTGGAAAAGGCCTTGAAGAAGTCCCTGCAGCCTAGGGAGCGAGCAGCGCTGGTAGGTGGGCTGGCCCTTCCTTATAGCCCTCTGGGAGCAGCGTAAGGGTGCCCAAGAAGCCCAGATAAGGGAGTTACAAGAGACAGAGGAAAATTTAGAAGCCCGGGTGGTGCAGGAGTTGGAGAACGAGTTAACGGAGTAGTCCAACCTTGGATGCTGATGAAACTGCAAGTATTCAGGAGACTAAGGGCAGGGGCCCTCCCTCTGTTAAGAGCCCCCTCTCCAGTGGTAAAACAGAGAATGGAGCATGCACGGCCTGTGGGGCCCGGGGTGGAGGGCATGGCGCAGGGCACGCCCACAGTAACGGAGCATGTCTCTTAGTCTGCCTACACCCCCATGGAGCTGCGGGAGCTGGGAAACACTGCAGGCGGCATCCTGGGGAGACTGTGCCTGCCTGGTTGTTGCGTTTATGGGGTGAAGGGACACAGAGCATCCTGTGCTCCCCAATGGAGAGGGAGCAATTGGCATCCATGACTATACATCCTTCCCTGACGCAGAGGCTACAGACAAGTGGTCGCCATGGCGATGGCCACCACTCCTTGCTTAAATGGCTTAAGGCTGCTGCCCGCATGATATGGGATGATGCTGGAGAACTACCCAAAACCCTTATTAGTGCATGTCCACACTAATAACTGGGTTATGTTTAAGGACCTCACTGTCAGCACCTACATGACAAGCCCAAGGTTGGCTAGCAGGTATGGGTGGATTTATCTTCCCACTCGTTTGATGAAAAGGTGCACTCGAGGTGCAGGTGGGGACAGCCATATGTCCCGGGGAAGGTCCTCCCCACCTTTACCAAGAAACCACATAATTGGAATGCCGTGTTCTTCTGCTGGCACCTGGCGAAATGGACTCCATGGTGATTCTACCTGGCAGCTATCTTTTCCCCTGGGGGTGGAGCCATCAAGGTAGAAATAAAAGTAAATGCCCTAGTGGAGCATACTGCTCGGCCCTGAATCAAACCAGGCAGGCCTTGACCCTCCTGGTGGGTGAAGTCACCGAGATAAGGAAAGTGGTTTGATAAAACCACATGGCCCTTGATCTTCGTACTGCAGCCCAAGGGGGCCACATGTACAATCATACATACTGAATGTTGTGTATATAAACCTGATAGCCAGGAGGATGTTTCCTCTGCCTTGAAGGAAGTTGATGACAAACTATAGGCCATCCAACAATTAACTGGAGACCCACTACCGCAATGATGGGAACGTCTCTCATCCTCCTGGCTTTGGACCCTTTTAGTGGCTGTGGTCTGGTAATACTGTGTTGTTCCCTGTGTTACTGTGGTGGCCGCTGTGCCCAAGGGGCCTCCCTATGGGCCCGTGTGTCAGCTCCCGTTACCTAAGGGGTGGAATATAAGGGAAACTGCATTTGTAAAGGCCACAGGTTTCTTAGGCCAAACTAAGATGACTGCCGCAGTGTTTTTTCTGGTCCAGAACCCCTGGTTAGCTGGCCTTCCTGGGAGACATGACTCAGCACACTCATGTAACCAACGTGTTATCTACTGCGTGATACCATGTGATCGCGCTTTCCCATGGCGTGCTGTCACTATTGTTCAGAGCCACATATAAACGCTCACCATGTTCCCAGCCATGCTTTTCACCACTGCTGTATCCCCCCGACAATAAAGAGCATGTCTCACCTGCCTGCTGCCCCCTGGCCTTTTCTTCCAATTCTCGAAGCCTGTGGAAAACTCGCTAGCCACAGGGCATCCTCCTCACAGAACACAGCATGAACTTTCTCACGACCACTCTGAGAACCCCGCTGAACCACACCCATTGCCCCATAACACTGAAATATCTAGACTTAGAGCAAGTGTGCTCTCCTGCCTCTTCTGTCCTGACTCCCCCACCTCCATTAGCGCTTGACATTTAAAGCCTCTTGATGATAACTTAAGATATAAAACATGTTAATAGTAAAGTTTTGCAGTTCTTTGTGAGTCTACTTTAATAAGAACGACTAACCCTGATTGTCTTTTTTAAACCAAAATATCACCATATTAGCATAAATGCCAGGGAATTTATGGAAGGATAACAAGACTATTGGCAGTGATCTATCACGTTCCATGTAGTAACTTCTGGTTATATAAATGTAACAATCACTCTCAGTTACTATCAAGAAGAGTATAGAGTACTCTGATCAATTCACTCACATATCAGACATTTTTTGCATACACTTGTATGTGTTCATAAATATGTGTATAGATAGAAATAATAATAATTTTTTGGGCAGTTTCCGAGTCATTTTATTCAGAATTTTGTGTTTGTTTCCTGAATCAATAAATACTATATAAAACAATGTAAAAATGGCTACCATTTTCTCTCCCCTGCTCCCTCCACCTGGGGACAATCCCCTGGACCTCACTTGGGGGTTTCAGGGGTTTTGCCTCCAGATTTGGTCCAGCAAATGAGGTTGACATATATGGCCCCTTGAATCATTTTCAAAGGAATTTGGCTGGGGCAGGGACAGCCTCTGAGATCTGGAGGTGACGAGGTTAGAGAAATGGATGAGTGTTTTTGGGGGGCAGAGACGGCGCCTGGAGCAAGAGCCTACTACAAAGAAAAGGGTGTCTAAAATGTTCACCGTTCCTTCTTTGGCTCAAAAAGTGACATTTATTCAAAGAAAAAAAATGACAAGATGTCCATCCCTTTGCTCCCTTCCCTCCCCCCTCCTGCTGTTCCTCAGCCCCCCAAGATTGAACCCTGGCTGGGGCTAGGTAGCAGGACAGCCTCTCTCAGATGAGGTCAGCAACATTGAGGGCATTCCTCACTGAAGGTGTTGTAGAAGGTCTCCATGTCTCGAGGAGTCCTCTTGTCTTCTTCTGTCACCATGTTAACAGCCACACCCTTACGGCCAAACCGTCCACCATGACCAATTCTGTGAATATAGTTTTCCCTGTTGGTGGGAAGGTCATAGTTGATGACTAAAGAAACCTGCTGCACATCAATGCCTCTGGCCAGTAGGTCAGTGGTAATCAATACTCGGCTAGAGCCAGAATGGAACTCCCTCATGATCACATCTCATTCTTTTTTGGTCCATATCTCCATGCATGGCAAAACAGGGAAATCTCGGGCACGCATCTTCTCAGTAAGCCAATCTACCTTCCTTCGGGCGTTGATGAAGATGACTGCCTGGGTGATGGTCAGGGTTTCATACAAGTCACACAGCGTGTCCAGCTTCCACTCCTCTCGTTCCACGTGGATGTAGAATTGGTGGATACCCTCCAGGGTCAACTCTTCCTTCTTGACAAGAATCTGGATGGGGTCCCTCATGAACTTCTTGGTTACCTCAAGCTCATCAGAAGGCATTGTAGCTGACAGCAAAACTACTTGGGTGTTGCTGTTGAGCTTTTGGAATATGTCATAGATCTGGTCCTTGAATCCACAGCTGAACATTTCATCAGCTTCATCCAGAACAAACATCTTGATGTATTTGGGAGACAGGTATCTCCAGTTAAGCATGTCAAACATTCATCCAGGGGCACCCACGATGATATGGGGTGCTTCTATCTGCAGTTTCTGCACCTCAGCACGCACGTTGGTGCCCCCAATACAGGTATGACAGGAGGCACTCATGCAGTCTCCTAATGCCATGACCACCTTCTGTATCTGCTGAGCCAATTCTCGAGTGGATGCTAGGACCAAGGCCTGGGTGGCTTTAGATCCAACTCAATCTGCTGCAGAACCGATATAGCAAATGTGGCCGTTTTAATTTTATGTTAGTAAATGAATATGTATTTTACAAGCATGGCATCAGACTATTTAACTTGGAGATATCTGAATATCAGTAAGCCTAATATTTTCAAAATGATATTAGAATAAAAAAGGAATATAAACACATTTTTATCAAATATGAAGAAAGAGTATTTTCATAATTGAGATTAGGTTGACTTTGGGGAAATTTTACTAGTTTTAACATAGAGAGGCAAGCATTGTTTCTTCTTTTGTATTTATATTTCATTATAATAGCTGTTTATTTAAAGGAATATTTCTAATATATTGTTAACTCCATAGCTATTTTATTATTACAGCTATTTAGCATATGTCTAGGAAGCCGTATGTTCTAGAACAAGTTACCTCAGTTACTAAGATTGAATTTCCCTTAATAGTATTATATAATGCCAATAACCACCATTAATTGAGCACTTGTAAGGCAATTTACTAAGTACTTTACATGCATAATAGTATTTAAACTTTAGAATTAACCTTGAAACTCTATTCCAAAGCTCTACTTATATATAAAAGCAAGACTGAGGTTTAGAAGAGGCTCTTGTTCAATATGTTCTAAGACTTGAAAGCCTAGGAGATCAGAATCATAGATTTTTAAAACTGGAATGCATTTTAGAGACAATCTAGTAGTTCAATTCTCTAATGTTATAACTGCAGAAACTAATGCTTAAAGAGATTATACAGATTTTCTAAGAATAGCCTACTAGTTAATGGAGTATCTACATTGTTGTGCATGTTTATTTCTCCCTAACCATGTTATAGACTATACTATCATTCTATTTATACCCAAAATGTTTAATAATGTGGTATTATGATTATAACTTTTCATTTTTTAAAATTATGCTTCTTTATTTTAAAATAAGTGGTAAATTTGTTATGGCATCTTTCTTTTTAGATTCTGAGTTTAAAATCTTGCTACTCTATGTGTGGTCCATAGGTCAGCCTCAGTGTTAGCATTCTGTGGCACCTTCTTAGAAATGTTACATTATCCCTTCCACTCCAGACCTACTGAATCATTATCTGTCAGGAAGATATTAACATACGAGATATTAACATGCATATTAACATATGAGAAGCATGGCCTATAAAGTTTCTATTTCTTATACACTCATTTCTACCACACCAGTTCCAGTAATGTCCAACACTATTACTAAATACCAACACGCATCCATGTATGAGCTCTTCTTGGCCTATGTACTAAGTAAACTGATAATCTATTAAAGAACATGCTTTATCACAGACTATCATCTCAGATATAGATTGTAATCTGAGAAATGGATATAGATATCTCATGGGTTAGTTATAGATAACATAATCATCTAGCACTAGCAGGTAAATTACCTTATGCCAAGTTTGATGAAGACTAAGCCTTTGATTTATGTTGCAAAGTTAAGCTGCAAAGATGTTGAAAGTTAAAAACTATATGGTAAATTCTATATTATTCTCTGTTTGAAGTGGTATATTCAAGTTCTGAAACAACCTTAATATAACACTCTATTTCTTGAAAGCAATCAAGTGGCATACCCAGGTAGTCTCATTATTATAATAAGAATGTAAGGTACATTTTACAACAATCCTTGGACTTTCTAGCACTTTATAAATAAATACATCTCTAATAAAACTATGTAAGATGGATATGTTAATTTGCTTGATTATAGTAATCACTTCACTACGTATATGTCTATCAGAGCATCATATTGTACACCTTCAATTTATGCAATTAAAAAAATGTTAAATGAGAGAAAAACATAAACCTCAGTCACTATCCCAAAGTATGTAGCAATCCAAATAATTGAAATCTTACTAAAATAAGAAAATTTCTGAAAGAATAGAACACAGTAATGCCAAAGGGAAATGCTTAAGAATATGTGGTTTAATATAATATCTTTATTCATATTAAAAACAACTATAAATATCTTATAATTATTGGTTTACAGTAATACTATCAAAACTTTATGTGAAAGTATGTTATAATTATATACAATACTATTTACTTTCTTTAAAGTCAGCTATAAGCAACACACTTTGAAGAAAAGTTTATTTAGGAAATTGCCTCTTAAAATGCTTGCTGTTTCAGTAACATACGTACATATTAAATGGTCAAAGTTATTTCTCTCTTTAGCAAAATTCTCTAAATTAATATAATTGGATTATTGCAAATGTTAGTTCTGACATTTCTAAATGAATCTGGAACTATGAACCTGGAACTATCTCTCATGTTGACAATATCATTTACAAACAAAGTGATTATTTTAAGAAGGTAACAAATGAGTTTTTTAATATTAAATTTATTTAGGCAATACATATTGACTATGATACAATTATTAAAATTATAACTTTGTAAATCACATACATGCAAATATAACTATATACTAAAGCACTTCAAAGCGCATTTAACAATGTCTGTTCTTCCTTAACAACTAAAAATTAGACATTATTGAAAGATATTTGGAATTACTATTCCTTAATTGTCCTCAATTTAATTTAGATGCAAATATGTTTTCTGTCAATGTGTTAAATAATAAATTTGAAATGTAAAAGCAGCATTTAACTTCCTTATGCCTAATATCCAAGTGTTTGATGAGAAAGAACAACAGATTATTTGATATAAAATATTATGATATTGTTTCTTATTGCTAATTTTTAGTGTTTGAAGATACCTGGGACCAGTGTTTTTGCTCTCACTAGGGTAAACATTTTCTTCTCCCTCACCTTAACTGTCTTCCTGGTTGATTGGAATAGTTAAGAAGAGGAGGGCACAAGGAATAAATGAGAAAACTAGAGCAAAGTAAACTGAAAGAGGTACTTTGGAGTTATTTTAAATTTCCCAGAGGAAGAACCCAGAGTGCTAAGCTGCTTCATTCTCTCCGTCATTGTTTTTCCACAAATGAAATTTTGATTTCTCCACTCTTTACTGAAAAGAATGTTCAAAAATTGAGGAGGCGAAGAAACAAATGTTTTTTCCAAGTTGGTTAACTATATTCTAACTTTATTTCCAGGAATTTTGAAACTGTGAAGATAAGTATCTGGTACATATATTGTGTCAGTCTCAGACAGAAGATGATAAAGTCATCTGGCCCAACTCATGCCAGCTGCAAGACAGGGTCTGTTCAAGTGCCTAGTAGATGGCTTTAGGAGTTCTGCCTAAGCCCCAGGAAATAGAATGACAAGAATTCACTATGACCTATTAATAGGACTTTATGTCTCAGAATATAATTTTCCAGTGACCAACTTTCATCATCACTTTTTATGATCCTATCATTTCTAATTCATGCCTTCATTATCTATATAGCAAGAGGTAATTGTTAATTTTGCCTGGGCCTTTGAAAAAAATCATATAGCTTTCATTACTTATAAAGTTGCTTATTATAAACTTTTAATTATAAATGTTTTCTACCTTCCTAGAGATTATAAAATACTCAGGACACAGACTCTGTCTCCAAAGCTTTTGTAATCTCCAAAGTTTGCCACAGTGATCCATTTTTAATAGTCATTCAAATGTTTTATTTAATAATAAAAAAAATCCCCACAAATTATTTCAGCCAAACTCCCAAAACTCCTGGATATTGATTTTCAGGGACTTAAAATAATGGCTACTGTTTGATTCTCAGCTTTCTAATTATTTAGAGAGTCAAATACAAAACTGAAAAACAAATGTCAAATTTCTTTTTATACTTTGCATCGCACTTCAGAAAGCAAGCTGTATATCTTAAACATAAGGCTGCTATGGTAAAATGTTTATTCTTTTAAATATGTTCCTTATGCCCACAAGCTCTCTAATTTGCAAATGTCATTTTTCAGAAACATTCATGAGTAAGGTAACTGAATACCTGTTACACTGTAAAATAATCTCTATGAAACCTATTGATACATTGGTTGTTTGGCACTGTCTTAATAATCTTATCACACTTTATAGCATTAGAGTATACTTTTTTGTTATGCTTTTTATTTATTTGTTTAATTTCAGCATATTGTGGAGGTATGTTTAGGCTACATATATTACATATGCAATATGTAATATTATATAAAATATACATATATATTACAAATGTTTAGGTTATATATATTGCCCTTGCCCCACCCAAGTCAGAACTTCAAGCATGTCCATCCCCCAAACGGTGCGCACCGCACCCATAAGGTGTATATATACCCATCCCTTCCATCCCCCATCTACCCAAAACCAGATGAATGTTGGTTCAACATAGACAAATCTATAAATGTAATTCACCACAAAAACAGAAGCAAAAACAAAGACCACATGATACTCTCCATAGACACAGAAAAAGCATTCGACAAAATTTAACACCCTTTTATGATAAGAATGCTTAACAAAATAGGCATAGATAGGACTCACCTAAAAATGATACAAGTCATACATGACAAACCCACAGCAACACCATATTGAATGGGGAAAAATTGCAAGCATTCTCACTTAGAACTGGAATCAGACAAGGTTGCTTCTATCACTGCTTCTATTCAACATAGTGCTGCAAGTCCTAGCCAGAGCAATCAGACAAGAGAAACAAATCAAGGGCATCCAAATGGGGGGATAAGAGGTCAAACTATCTCTCTTTGGTGACAATATGATCTTATATCTAGAAAACTGCAAAGATTCTGCCATGGGACTACTGGAATTGATAAACAAATTAAGCAAAGTCTCAGGTCACAAAATCAATCTACAGAAATCGTAGCATTCCTATATGCCAACAATGGTCAAACTGAGAAAGACTCAATATCTTTCACAATAGCAACAAAGAATAAAGCACCTAGGAATATATTTAATTAAGGAAGTAAAAGACCTCTATAGGGAGAACTACAAAACACTGAGGAAGGAAATGACAGAGGATATAAACAAGTGGAAAACCATATCATGTTCATGGGTCAGCAGAATCAACATTGTTAAAATGTCTATACTACCCAAAGTGATCCACAGATTCAATGCAATCCCTATTAAAATATCAACATCATTTTTCACAGATATGGGAAAAATAATTCAACACTTCGTATAGAATGAGAGAAGACCCCATATAGCAAAAGCAATCTTAAGCAAAAAGAACAAACTGGAAAGCATCAATTTACCAGACTTCAAACTATACTACAAGGCTATACCAATGAAAACAGCTTTGTACTAGCACAAGAACAGAGAAATAGACCAATGGAACAGAACTGAGAACCAAGATATAAAACCATCCTCATATAGCCATCTGGTGTTTGACAAAGCAGATAAAAATATACACTGGGGGAAAGAATCCTTATTCAATAAATGATGCTGGGAAAACTGGATAGCCACATGTAGAAGACTGAAACAAGATCCGCATCTTTCACCTCTCACAAAAATCAACTCATGATGGATAACAGATTTAAACCTAGGGCATGCAACTATAAGAATTCTAGAAGAAAATGTTGGAGCATACTTTTTTATTGACTCTAATTAACTAACATCTTTTTCTATAGACTAGCAATATCATATATATTATTGCATTTAATGTGAACAAATGTAAATTCTGTTAATATAGATTTCATTACCTTCCTTCTTCTAATTCTTTTTTAAAGTATTTGAACTATATTATCTCACTTTTGGGGCATTCATGTAGACATTGGATAACTTACTGGTCTAATATTTGCTAACTGTTCTAATTGTAAGACTTAACTTCCCAAATAAATTATGAAATAAATATGAGGCAATTATAAATGATTTTTCAAGGTTTATAGACTCTAGTATTACGTCCATAAAACTATATAATACATGTTTAATGCATTTAAAAATAACAAAAAAATAAAATCACTAAAATTGATCTATTATCATGTGCCAGTGTCTATACATCCCGTATTTAATCCTTCCAGCAAGCCTTTCTTACAAGTACTATCATACTGCAATTTTGCATTTTAGAAATCTGGGCCCAGAAATTTAGACAATTTTTCCAAGTTCACACAAGAACAGAGTTAGTGGCAAAACCCCAGCCTTTCTGACATAAAAATCAGTGCTAATAACTACTATAGTACACTTTTTCCCAAAGAATATGTAGATTAGTCTCAAACAGAATCAATACTTTTTATAATATCAATGTCAACACAGTTCAGCAGGTAATCATTATAAAAATAATTGTTAGCAATGGCTACAGAATATTATATTACAGCAATCTTTATTTTAGGAGCTGCTAGTGTAGGATACCCATTCATAGTAAGGGACTATTTATTTCTTTCATTTACGGAAATTAGCTTTAACAATAGAGACATCCTGTCACAGATAATGAACAAAAGTTGGACACTCTGCCATAGAGAAGATGTCTAATATTTAAAACTCATGGATGGTGGATAAATAACTGTATGTATGCATTTATAAAACACTAACTTATAGTATTGCCATTTTTCTCAGCTTTAGTGAAGTCTCTCCAATCAAATCTTACATTTTAAGTTGAATCAAAGATTTCAAGTACTTATAATTTATAGCCAAAGACACATGCAAAAAAAAAAAAAAGAAAAAAAGGCAAAACAGAAACAGATAAAATTTTTTCAAAATCCCTTAAAGACTGAATATAGTTTTAAATAGCAATTGAAAAAAAAATTACTCCTTCTACACCAAAATATATGCTGTGTATTCTATTAATATGTGCAGCAATTTATATGCTTCTTATTCTAGAAGGCCAGTTTGGCAGATAGTTATGTTCATCCAAGTATAAGGGTTTCTTAATGCTTATATATAATAAATCTGATAAAATATATTATTCTATCTTATTACAGATAACAAATGCTTCCTGCCTATATTTCTAACCAATAAAGATTTGTTTTCAATTTGTTGATAAACTATTAATCAGTATCCTTTACTCTTTAAAAAATTTCTTTTTATTATATATTTTACAAAAGACTTATTTGAAAGCTACCAAATGTTTCCTTATCAAAGCAATGTCCAAACCTGGTCAATGTTGGAATTGCTTAGTTTTCCTCTTTTTCTTGGAACATTCTTCCCCTGATGTTTGCTTTCCTTGTTTCTTCCTGCCCTTTAGGTTCTAGCTAAAATGTCCTCATAGAGAGGATTTTCTTAATCATCCAACTTACCTCTGCACTGGCTGGGATGATTTAATAATTACAATTTCTATTTTATCATACCTAATCAATAAAAAGGAACTTTGAGGTAACTTACTAAGATCAAAGATCTAAGATCTATTACAAAATAGACAGTTAAATAATTTTGAAATTAAGAAACCATAAATAGGATCTGTGACTTAATAGAAGCATGTTATTAAATGACAATTCTTTTTTACTAAAATACTGGAAACTGAATGTGTTTTGTAGAAGCTGATAAAGTGGATAATAAACAAAATAATGGGAAAATACTTTCAGCTTCAAGCCTAGATCATTAATCTTTCCAAAACATGCTGCTGTTCTATGCATGCTCCTGTGTCATCCCTCTTTAACTATTTCTTAGGCAACTGTTGTCACAGGACAGCTCCAGGAAGCCAGTGCTTCAGTCACTAGCCTGATTTGTCTTTGGCTCTACCATTTGTGCCTTTGCCATTTGAAAACGCAATATGTGGAAACAAACACAGTATGAGAGATGCTCTAAATGCTGTAATTATAGATGTATAAACAAACAGTACATCTAAAAGCCTTTTTTAAAAAAAAGTCCCACTGATGCCAAATTGATAGAAGAAACCATGTTATTTCTATTTGCAATATTCTGCAATCTCTCCTTGAAAGTTGTTACATTACTCTGATTTTGCCAGCTATAATAAAAAAATGGTATAGTAATAACACATTTTAAATTCCAAAAATTTATATTTGGGGTGATTATATAGTCTTTGTAAAACTAAAATGCTTCAGATTATTGTATAAAATAACTATATAATAATAGTCATATTTATTTCCCTAATATAGTTTGGACAAAGATCAGTTAATAAGTTCAAATTCAAGAATATATTTCACACTGAACAAACAGGTGTAAACTATCCTTTAATATAACCATAATTACATTGAAAGACCCTCTTCTGAAATAGTTATCTGTTCCATTTTTGGGTTTGATTCATACAGACATGTCAGTTTTAAAGTAGGGTTATTTTTATATTAATAATATGGGGATTAGTTACAAACTTTGTTGTCACTAACATTATAGTAAAATTATAATACTTCTGATAATATTTTTAGCTATAAAATACAATTAAAAATTTTACTTGTTTCTACAATGAAGCTATATGTAGAAGCACTATATATATATATACATATATATATATAATCCATTTTGATTCAATTCAATTTAATTTACAAGTGCATTTATTTAACAGTGCCTGTGTACCTAGAAATGTTATGGGTAATTGATTGGTAGGATATAAGTAAATAAAAATAATAGTCTTATCTTAAAGAATATATTAACTTTTGAATTAGTTTTCAGCTATCTATAAAAAATAGTAGTGACTAAGTATTAAAGGCATTTTAATTACATCCTATTTTCAAACAGTTTGTGGCAGTAGAATATTGGGTAAATATTCAATTTTTATTACCTTAGAAGCTCAACTACAACTACAATTTGTGAGAATGTAAATTTTGTATCTGTGTATGGGAGAACTTTGCAAAAGTCAGAACTATATAAAAATGAAACTAGTGAGTTTAAAAAATTTGGGGCATCCTTATGCTTTGAGTATTCCAGCAGAGAAGTAATTGACTAATTTTATGTAATGAATGCAATGCAACCAGTACAGTGCCTTGTGTGATAAAAGATGTTTACTGAAGTCCCTTTGATAAACCATGCCCTCATATCTATTAATATAAGAAAAAAATGGAAGCTCTACCCAGGCAAACTGAAGACTAACAGAAAAGGCAGTAATCTATGTTTTTACTAGGCATGCCTGTGGAAATCATTTTGAAGAATATAAAATTTAAAACAGGCTTTGCTAGGTTGGCTGGCTTTGAAATGGTTGTGAGGTAGCATGTACAAAGTGGCAAATGTAAGGATGAAGAGAATTAGTTTAAAATATAAAAAAATATAGAATATAAGTACACATTCT